CATTACATTAAAAAGAGGTCTCTACGTTATCAGCGCACGAACGATAAGCTACATTATCACTACTTAACCTCACAGATTACGACATCACAAACCCCATAAACAAACACATTGATTAATAGATAACGGAATGGATATACAAAGATAGATAGATAGATAGATAGATAGATAGATAGATAGATAGATAGATAGATAGATAGACATAGATAGATAGATAGATAGATAGATAGATAGATAGATAGATAGATAGATAGATAGATATTGGATGGATATATCACTAGAAAGATAGATAGACAGATAGATAGATAGATAGATAGATAGACATATAGATAAATAGACAGATAGTTAGATAGATATTCAGATACATAGATAGATAGATAGATTTATAGCATAGATAGACAGAAATATGCATAGATATATAGATAGATAAACAATCGATGGACTATAGATAGATAGATATATAGATAGATTGCTACATAGATAGATAGATAGATAGATAGATATAAGATAGACACAGTGAGATAGATAGACAGATAGATAGATAGATAGATAGATAGATAGATAGATTTGATATAGACAGATAGATGAATAGATAGATAGATAGATAGATAGATAGATAGATAGATAGATAGATAGAGAGATAGATAGATAGATAGATAGATAGATAGATAGATAGATAGATAGATAGATAGATGGACACAGAACCTAACTAGATTCCTTACTACACTTCATTTGTCTATCTGGTTCACTGTTTTTAGTTTTGCTTTATTTTGTTTTAACTAAACCTTTGTTATTAAAATATTAGTTTTGTTGCTTTTCGCATCCAAAGCGAGGAAACTGGTAGTGAAATATGTGTTACTCGAAAGGGAAGTTATATCGAATTACTGAGAAATATTATTTGGCAAATAAATTACTTGTAGAAAAACCCAAAGTTTACTTACGTAAAATGCAATAAGCTCATTTATCACGGTTGGTGTTCAGCATATGTGAGAAGGCAAGACGATCGAGGTTGCTCTGTCTCTCACGTGACCGTGCTTGAGTAAAAGAGCTTGAGATGTGCGGAATGGTGTTTATTACAGCGAGGGCTTCAAGAATGCCTCTGGGAAAATAGTTTTTTTCATGTGATCGGTTGCATCATAAAATTATTCTTATTCTGGAGTATACTTCATTTAATTTTGACATATTGCGTGCATGTCAATATTGTAAATTAATTGTTTATTGTTTTTCTAACTTGAGAAACCGGTGATGATGGTGGTGTTGGTAGTGGTGCTGATGGTGGTGGTAGTGGCGGTGATGTTTTTGGTCGTAGTGGTGGTGGTGGTGCCAGTGGTGGTGATAGTGTTGGTAGTGGTGAACTTGATGATCACAACACCTATGTAATGAGTAATTTACTTCGTTCTAGTTTCGATCTGTTGTGTATTTCTGCGCTGTTTCAAGTTTGTGATAATGCCCACTATTAGCAAAATACAAACAGTTTACCATCTGCCTTTAATTGCTCTGTGGATCGTCGGTGTGAGCCCCAACTACAGCGCATTTCAGTCCCGAATTGGCCAGCACATGACGGCTGTACCATTAGATGCTTTTCTCCTTCTGAAAATGAGTTCGTGGATGATAGAAACCTCGAATTATCGCTCAATTTATGCGGTTCTAACTATCCCAACATGACACAATGCACAGAGGAAGAGTAAGAGAACCATGAGGTTAGTATTGAACAAAAAATGCCTAATGATATTTCTAATTACAATTATCATGGGTTTATTTATGATCATAACGACAAAATGATGATAAAAACAAGACCGATGTGTTATCAACTCAGCGTTCTCTTTTTTTTATTCATTTTACTTCCTTTTATTACACATGCACAGATACAAGTTTCAGGAAGGGTTAAATGGACANAGGTTATCATTCCACACACAAAGTTAAGGAAAGTTAGTCGGTGGTGAAAGGAAGGATTCGAACACATACTCCCGAGGTGATAATTTTGCGACGTTATCACCCAGAGCCCAGAGCGATCCATGAAGATCATCACTAAAGCGCGCACACATCTGCCAACTGCATTTTCACAGTCAACTGTCCGTTGAACGAAGTTCACAACGTAGGAAATATTTGGTGGTTAACAAATATAACTGGTCGGTTTTCATTTTTCACAATGTATACCAAATAGAAAATGTCATTCCAAAACCTTTCCGGTTTTCAACGCAGCTTTTAGTCCGTGAGCAAGAGCAATTCGTCAGTTCTGACTAGGTTTTTTCCAGACCATCCATATCTGCTTGGTAAANNTACATGCTATAGATCTGCACAGTTCCTCCTCGGTTTACGAACCAATTTCCCTCTCGTGGACTGGGATACTTTTGGAATTACAGTTATACTAGTTCGTCACACTGTTGGATACACATTACCTGTTGAACTCGTTACTAAACACTTTTTTTAAATAATCACCCGGAATTGGGAGATAGGGATTCTTTTCACTGTTGATGAACAAAATGCAAAACATAGTTTAAACCTTAGGATTGTGTCGTATGAAATGCTCTGACAATCAGCGCAACCATGCACTTTACAATTGTGGCAGATTCCGCGGTCAACACGGTCGAAACACTTCATAAACAAAATTCGTTTTGATTAGGCCTGACTAGCCAAGCATAGTTTTGTGTCCCGGTATTCTTGGATTGGCTTTGAATCCGTGTGAATCAAGCTGACCTCCATTTTCCTTAAACTGAATGGAATAGTGTTCTCGGAGTTCAACGAAGAGGGAGCACCGAACAGCTTATTGGTTCTTACAAGCACGTGGCACAGTCTCGTTACCCTCTGACTGGAATTCAAACTGTTTGGTTGAAACCTAGACTCCGTGTTCTTTAGTGACAGGAACAACGTATGATTACCTGATTTTATGAATTGAATATTGGCTAAATAAGTAAGGTGATAATTGTTAAGCATTCCATATTAAAAGTAAAACAGTACGGCGAACAAGCTTGTTTTCGTAACTTCGTCTTCAGGCCTTTACAGTAATGTGTGCGTATTTATATCTCATTTAGAAATAAACGTGGTTGGACCATAGAGGTTATGTGTGAAAATGCAACGATGTCTGTCAAGTTTAATCGGGACCAGTGGATAAAATGGGGACAGTGGGTGAAGGGGATTGGGGGGGGGGGGNGTGTGGCAACCATCTTCTTCTGTTTGCACAGTGGTGGGTTCATGATTTTGATTGTTACAGCTTCTACTGTTGACAAGTGTTGTATCCGAACTTGCTTTAATTTGTTTTGGGGTACTTTGTAGATGACTTTGAAAGCATCGTTGTCTGGCTGATGTCCGGTATCAGTGAGGTGGTCCATAATCGCACTGGTTATTGTTTTCTTACAATTCGTTCTCAGCCAAGCCGGTTTATGTTCTCGGATCCTTTGGGAGAGCTGCCTCATCGTTCGTCCTACATAACTTGCCGAACATTTGCAAGTGAAAGAATAAGTAATCCATATTAATTACCAGTTAACTCACTACAGTTCATTCTATACGCATATGTATGTGTATATGCCACCCTCTGAATCAAAATACAATAGATCCTCTTCAGTATTACACGTCTACATATATTGCTATATATTTGGGGTAGAGTAACGGGCTTTGTTGGTGTTCTTCTCATGACTCAGTGCACCATCTCTCACCAGTTCGGTGGTGACCCGGTTGTGATGTCAGCAAATTTTCACCTCGGCGGACGTGTGTTCGAATCCCACCACCACCACCACCACCATCACCACCTCCCTCCCCGTTGTGTGTGTGTGTGTGTTGAATGATGGCCGTTCGATTGATTGCTTCCGTTTTCCTGAAAATTGTATCTTAGTGCACATTCAATAAAAGGAAAAAAAAGGGAAAAATATAAAAAAACAATTAGCACATTTGCTAACCAGTACCCACATTTTACAGTGATCCACTCCTACCAGGCCATCAATCGCAGATTGGTTAATCCAATCCAATCCTATCCACGGTCTGCCCACAAACGGTGAATTAAAAATACATGTAACCAATCCTTATCTATGATCAATTTGTCTTTTTTATCCGAGCGTCTAATCTCCACGTTTTGAAGGTCACCTAGCCTATCTGAATGGTCGAACGGGGTTTCGGTCCAAATGGCCAATTAATCCTGAACAGAGTAGTTCTGCAGTGCACGGGAATTGCTAACTGAAACACATTCAGACAAAAACGCACAGACAGTTATTTTATATTTTCTCTTTGTACCCGTTTTTTTCGTCGCATGTATAAATGAGCAAAAAGGTTCATTGTTCTACATGATCAGGCACAAAAACCAGTATTCACTGTGCCGTTTTTATCCCTTACTTTTGTCTGCGATAGCCAACCACATCGGTGGCATCAATTACCGCAACGGACTGAATCAATAAAATCTGTACGACAGAACAGAGCAATTCTTTTGTCGCAATATGTCTCCTTCGTCTCTCCGACCGGTATTGCTAGGTGCTGGATTGGGATGACCGTGGGGCACACAATTTTGTTAGACTGATATCTCAAGTGAAGAATAATAGGGACAGACATGGACAACGTACCAGGTGCGAAGTTATAATTAACAAAAAGTGGGTCTACAGTGTTTGAGCGGTTTCAGAACGAAAACAGTTGTTTCGTTTTGATCGGGAATATGTGATTCAATGGATCCCATGAGCACAATATCTCTCACAGCAGAAAAATGAATCAACAGACTTTCCGCCGATAACTATTACACCGTCGGTCTACATTTATGCGTTATGTCAATTCCAATTTCACTGATAAGGTAATCGATCGAACTGATGCAATGTGATACTGAACTTCGAAGTACATTTCAGTTTACAATATTCCATTCACATATGGATTATCAAAGGTATATATAAACGTGTATGACAGGCGTCTGAGGCTAGACCTTGTGCCAAACACATCATGATAGAGGTATCATTTAAAAAAAAAAGAAAAAATTCCATGTTGAGAATACGGGCGAAATACTGTCACTTTCCCCGAGCCAAAGCAGATGAATACACAATCGGAGCCCTCGGGCAGCCAAAGCCTGACCCACCACACATTATAGCGGAGTGTGGAAACCTAAATACACTTGGAGATTGTTCTCCATTTCGTTTGCTCCAAGGTGCTCAATAACCAAGTGTAGACAGTTTTGTTCCGAACATTATCGACTGTACTATCAATGTACTCAATTTTCACTTGTCACTTGTTTCACTTGTCCCGACCTTGAGTGTCATGTGAAACCTTGCTAGGGTTTAAAAGTCACAGCTCAACACTAGAATAGTTCTCGTGCAAGTTAGCATAGAGGTTTATTCCATTCTAATGAATGCTGGTTGTTTCATGAAAGTGTCTATTAGGGTCAATCTAAGCAGCATATATTTGACATGTACTATACAGTAAACATGTTGATTATGGTCAAAAAGGAAATTAATATTAACCTATAGCCTATATTTGAATATAAGCAAAACTTTTTCCGCTGCATCGAAGCAATGATCGGTTCTATACCTCTACACTGATCGTCACCTACTAGGGTGTTGCACATATCAGACTAAACTGAGATAGGCTATTAATTGGCTAAGTTAGTATACCATGCGAAAATTACTGGCTTTTAGTGCTTAATACTAACTGTATGTGATTAAATCCAATCTTCGTGAAAGTTTACATACGGTTGTTTTGCACACACACACAAACCTTAAACATGGCGTTTCATGTTTGTTTATTGATATATCTATATATGATCAAACCGAAATAAACTATTGTCGTGCGTGAACTTCTGCGTATGTACCCAGAGAGAGAGAGAGAATTAGTCATTTAGAGCAGCAGAATGTTGAACAGAAAAATTTTATTTAAACATAGTCAAACTGGAAACGCGTTAGCTTCGATAAAAGTCCAACTTGTCTTCTTTTTCTATGATAAACTTTGTTCATTCGAATATAGTCCACATTGCAGTCAACTATACACCTCCCATAAATGTGGGACAAATATACACATTTGTGAAACCTGTTCCCCGCCCAATCATGCACAAATTGTTTTTATGGCTATTGGGCTATGCTTGTCGCCAACTAGATACACCTCATGTATGGATTAACACCGCAGCTGATTGAATCAGGAACATAATACTGTCTATCTCTCCATCTGTTTGTCTGTCTGTTTGTTTGATTGATTGAAAGGAACGCACCAAACCGACCGTTTTTTCCCATATGCTTAGGAAGCGTAACAATCCGGTTGAAACGGACACCAATAATCGGGACAAATTAGTCCGAAATACAAGGACCGGGAGGCAATGCGCACCACTCGACAGTGTCAGTATCTTCGGTGATTTGCAAACATGGATATGTTTTGCGTACTTCAATCAGTGCTATGCACGCACCCCGTCCCATCACATGACCAGGCAGCGAAAGTGAATTATTTGTCACATTCCCGTTTTCTCATTAGTCTGATTCTCACCGATACCGTGATGATCTTCAGATTT